ACGTGTGCTCTTCCGATCTTTTAGCTAATAAAATTGTATCTCACAACAAATATATTTTATCTTTAATAGCTAACTTTTAGCAAGGACAGCAAAGTTTAAACTAGCTACTGATATTTAGCTGATAATGCTAAGTCATTTTTTTGCGTGCATCCTTATCACCCGGTGACATTCTTTCGTGTTCATCCCCTAGATCCTCGGATCCGATAAGTCTCTATTTGCGATGATCGCTCTTTAGTCACGCGCTTGACCCGAGATCTGCGGATCCGATAAATATACCTGTTTGCAATGATCGCCCTTCAGTCACGCGTTCGCATCCTTGAATCGCGGATATCCATAGACGTAGGAAGTATAGTGCATTCCTTGAAATTGCTACTCTCAATAAAGAAAAAGTGAAATAGCTTGATTCATATTGTTTTCTCTCTTTAAAATATCAGTAGTGAGAACATCGTGACTCTATGAATGGCGACATTCTTCTCTATATTACCTCCATCAAGGCGAATTCAAACGAGATAACGAAACTCAATATTTTGCGTTCTCTTTTTAACGGAATGCTAAGTTCAGTTAAATAAAAAATGCACTGTCTTCCTTCGTTTATGCGGGTACCTTCATCCTTTTCTTAATTCTCGGCTAAGCGACAATCATGCTTTCGACGGATTCGAAAGATTCCGCGATTCAGTTTTGTTTGGGTTAGAACTTCGAAATTAAGATACCGATTTTGTCGTGCTTCTCTCGTAATTCCTCGTTCCAAATCGTTAATTGTTAATTGTTTTATCGGAATAATGCCCAACTGGAGAAAGTAGATTTTTATTTTTTTACTCAATAACCGTCAAGTACTTGTTTTAAAATCTGCAAAATGAAGTATACGACAGTGCAATTGATCGCGATGCTCTTCCTCGTGTTAAACACCAAACCGCTGACGGAGGGAATAGACATTAACAATTATTTCCAACTGATCAACGACGTCCACAGATATTATCGCACGTCGTGCGTTATTTTTGTGCGGTCTGACAATTGCGGTAAGTATACCGAGAACGATTTCCAGCTGTCGTTACTTATACTGCACTTTCGACCAAAGGGCGCAAAGATAGTTTCCGCAAACATTTGAACAAATATTGAATTATAATTTCGCGTGTAAATCATTTCGGTTTTATCATGCTATTTAACGTTAAAATAGTGAAGAGGGTATACTGTTCTCAAAGGTATATTGAGAATATTTTTTATAAACAAAAATTCAGACTTATTTAGAAAATAAAGATATAGATTTATAAAATACATACAATAAAGATGTAAAAAAATGTTAAAAGAAATTTTTTTTACATGGCAGTATATATGATGCCGAATTAGAGATCTGCACTGCGAATATGATCAAATGATGGTAGAAATTGTATCGTTGGTTTAAAAGCAAAAGTGGTTTTTTTTAAAATGTTTTTGAGTAAGTTTTTTGAGTATAATTACAAGATTAGCGGGGTTCACACTAAATCAAGAAAATGAATTAAAGTTGAGAGCCTAATAAAAAAAAAGTTTAAAAGCTTAATAAAAAAGAATTTTACTTGGACTGTTTTTATGCATGTGCAGCGTTGTACAGATGTAGAATGATAAGCAATGAAGTAAATATATATAGCAGTAGGTATCAGATCTTGCAATAAACAGCGTTTCAATATGATAGATAAGGACAGATATATTCGTTTAAGTGAGACAGAAGATATGGTAAAAAATTGAATTAAAAATATATTACTATTATTTTACTAATGTGTAACTAATGTGTAACTAATTGATATTTTTAGTAGAATTAAAGAGTCTGCATTATCGTATTTGTACACAAAAATTTATTACGATGTGTGTGTGCGATATTGATGTGTTTAAGTAAACATAAACAAATCAATACCCTACTCATCAATTTACATACGTATGCATATATACTTATAAATCATCGGTAAAACAGCGATATTATGGAGTTTGGCCGTCGTGTCAGCATTGCCTTAAATTATAAATAAATAAATTGTCAATGATATATGTAGATTTATCAATAATACTTTATTAATTTAACATTTAATTAAAAATAAACAATTACGCTCTATTACAAAACAAAAAAATTTTATGCATGTGCCAATTAATTATTTTTTTTATTTTAGAAACATGTGTGACATACATATACACTTAATTTTTTTAAATTTTAATATTGTTGCCAAATAAATAATAAGATAAATAAGAAAATCGTCACAGTATTTTCTATTTTAAATACAATAATTCCTTTTTTCTTCATTCCATTGTTGTGCAGGAATTTAAAAATACAAAAGAAAAATTTATTGCTGAAAAAATTAAATACCATTTTACAATCCAGAGAATATTTGATTAAATAAAATATAATAACATCGTTAAATGCAAATATTGCAGATTTAAATATGACGACGTTGGTGCACATGTTGGCGCGTAAACAGCAGCGAGTCATGACCATGACGACAACTTTTTCGGATTTGATAAGGAAGTACAATGAGTACCAGAAAAATATTAGGCGGCCGTTGTTTGTCGTTCTTCTCGACACCAGGGACACCATGGATGAGTTCGCCAAGACCACTAGAGATATAAAACCCATCTCCTTTCCGTTCTGGTTCATCATGTTTCTTCAATGTCCTGGGAATCCCCTCAAGGAATACTGTACGCACCCAACCGATAATGTATTCAATGTGGATGTCAGTACCCAGATGCTGGTCTTGTGCTACGATCGCCCGACCTTGGTCGAGTGGTACGCCGTACGCGATAATCGCACCAGAACGTTCGATCTGGCCACGTGGTCCCATGATAGAGGTCTGATTTTGAAGACGCGAAAGAATATCTATGCCAGGAGAAGCGATATGTTTGGCGAA